TACCATTTCTGATAAAACGGGTTAAAAGCATTTTGTTTAACTCGTGAATTTATTATCCGACCAAAGACTACAAAAGTATATGTAAAAATGAAAAGAGTCGATGTTAAAATTGTAGCTGTTACCCTCGAGTGTTGCTGATTGTGCCTTAGTTGTGCTGCTCACCAAGATTGTGCTCGCCTGTTGCAGCCGCGCGGTGGTGCGCAACCCGGACGTGCGCGGCGGCCAGTCGGCGTGGCTGGCGTTCGGCCACGACTTCTGGGGCACGCCGCTGGGCTCGGCCGGGTCGCACGGCTCGTACCGGCCCCTCGCCGTGCTGTCGCTGCGCGCCAACGCCTACCTGGCGGGCGGGCTGCGGCCGCGCGCCTTCCACCTCGTCAACGCCCAGCTGCACGCGCTGTGCTCGTGGCTAGTGGCGCGCCTATCGCGCCGCCTCGGCCCGCCGGCCGCCTGGCCCGCGGCCGCGCTGCTGTTCGCCGTGCACCCCGTGCACTGCGAGGCCGTGGCCGGCATCGTGGGCCGCGCCGACCTGCTGGCCGCGGCGCTGGCGCTGCTCGCGCTGCTCGCCTTCCTCCGCCACCTGGACTGGCGCGAGCGCGGCTGCCGCTGCCCGGCCCCCGGCCCGGCCTGGTGCCGCTGCCGCGCCTGGGCCGGCGCCCTGCTCGCCGCCACCCTGGCGCTGGCCGCCGGCGCCATGCTCTGCAAGGAGCCCGGCCTCACCGTGCTCGTCGTCTGCGCCTCCTACGACCTCGCCCTGCAGCTGGGCCGCCGCCAGCGGAAGGTGAGCGGGGCACTATATTTGATCTTCAACTTAATTCACCTTTATAAATCAGGCAACTAATGCTTAAACACTTAAGTAGTCGTAGTCGAACGGTAGAGGACCACACAATGAAGTTGAACATAACAAGTGCCTGTACAATCAAGTCAAGTACCTACAATACCGACTCTCGCAAATCGATCGTCCAGAAAGTACCTCGGCGCCTGCAAGACTCTGGGTAGTCTATCCCGCAGGGCATGTATGTCCTGCACGCAAGATGTTGCCTACCCACAAGGCGTTATAAGAGCTTGCAATGGCTGAACTTGGCAGGTCCCGAAACGGACGTACTTTCTGGACTGGATGATACCATATGTTAGACACAGACACGTTTACAAATATTTGTGGCGCTAAACTCCCTCTCCTGGTCCGCAGCCGTTCTCACTGGGCTCGCTGGGCGCGCTGGCGGCCGGGGGCGCGGGGCTGCTGGCCGCGCGCCTGTGGCTCGTGGGCCTGCGCACGCCCGTGTTCGCGCGCGCCGACAACCCCGCGGCGCACGCCTCCTCCTGGGGCACGCGCGCGCTCACCTTCCTGCACCTGCCCGCCGTCAACCTGCGCCTGCTGCTGTGGCCGGGCACGCTCTCCTTCGACTGGTCCATGGACGCGGTGGAGCGCGTCGAGAGCCTGGCCGACCCGCGCAACCTGCAGAGCGCCGCGCTCTACGCCTCGCTCGCCGTGCTGGTGGCCAAGGCCGTGAGCGCGCTGCGCGCCGAGCACCAGGTGGGCAGACCATCCCCAGCACCGCGCCGCACCGCGCCGCACCATGGCCTCAGGGACACGACCGGCATTTTAGAATGCATTGCGTGTGTGTACGGGGGTATAAGAGGGATTTGGGAGCTTTGTCGGTGTCTCGGCTGCGCGCCGCTCCACTCGGGACGGGAGGGGTGAGGGGGGGGGGCGGTGTACGTGCTTGATCCTCTGTCTTCTCACGGGTGGACCCACAAGGGAAGAGAGAGAAGGAGGAGCGTGTGTGAGAGAGAGAGGGACAGACAGAGAGAGTCTGCTGCTCCGACAGGACAGCTAGCGAAAAACCGAGGGGGTTGGGGCCAAGGGAAACAAAAGAAGGGGACAGCCTGGTGGGTGGGGTGGTGGAGGGAGAGACAGGCAGATGTGATATTAGTTCCCTGACGTCCAGCGCCATGGCTGCAGCCAGCACGGTCCGCCCGGGCTCGGGTCCTTATCCAGGCTTTGTGTTTGCCCAGGGGACGGAGCGGTACACAGCGCGACGCGCCAGGACCGTCCCCAAGCGCCGCCAAGTCAAACCAGACCGGGTGAGTCGGAGATTAGTGTTTTATTTGCCCTCGTCATGTATTCAGAGAACGAATGTAGAGCGTCGTGATTTAATTTATACTGTGGCAGCGGCACTAAATTTGCACACTCTAGTGCCATGTATTTAGAATAAAATAAAAATTACATGAGTTTAAAAAACGTTTGCACTTTGTATTCTAACATTGAATGTATGTTTGTTCCTCTTTTAGAAGATGAAAATCTGCGGCGTGTGTTCCAAGCTCATCGAGTCGCGCGGCTCGTCTTATGTCTACACGTACAACAACAACGTGATCCTGACCAACAACAATAACAACAACAATAACAACAACTACATCAGCAGCCGGAGCAGCAGTAGCAGCAGCAGCGGCAGCGGGGGCAGCGCGACAGAGCGCGGGGGGGAGCCCGATGTGCCGCCCCCCGTGGTGCCCGCCCCCGCGGGGGCGGCGCTGCTCGGGCTGGCCCTGCTCGTGTTCCCGCTGTTGCCCGCCTCCAACCTCTTCTTCTACGTGGGCTTCGTCATCGCCGAGCGCGTGCTCTACCTGCCCAGCGTCGGCTTCTGCCTGCTCGTGGCGCAGGGCTTCGCCTGGCTGGCGGACGGCAACCGGGGGCGGCGTGCGGCGGGGGCGGGCGCGGCGGTAGGAGCATCCCGCAGACCCAAGGCGGGTGGCGGGCGGCGGGAAGCCTGGCCGGGCCGGGCGCCAGTGCTGGTCGCGGGCGTCCTCCTCCTGACCGTGTTCGCCGCCAGGACGGTGCAAAGGAACTGGGACTGGGCGGACGAGGAGGACCTGTACCGGGCCGGGATCGCCGTCAACCCGCCCAAAGGTAGGGGAGCGAGCTCGGTAGTAGGTCGACATGCAGCGCAAGCATATTTGGCGAAACTAACTTGTGTATTGTTCCACACAGCCTACGGCAACCTGGGCTCCGTGCTGAGCTCACGGGGACGACTGAGCGAGGCCGAGCACGCCTTCAGGATGGCGCTCAAGTTCAGGCCCAACATGGCCGAGGTTCACTACAACCTGTAAGTACGCCAAGTACGGTGTGTTGTAATAAAAGCAATGTGAGAATCTGTGTCAGCGTGTTTCTCTGTCTGTCTGTCTGTCTGTCTGTCTGTCTGTCTGTCTGTCTGTCTGTCTGTCTGTCTCTCTCTCTCTCTCTCCTCGGCGCCAAAAGCGAGATGGACGGCCGTGTTGACTGCCGCTCTCGACAAGGCGACGCACAAAAAGCAAAACCCACCAATCAGCACGAGCAAAAACGGGCGAACTCGTGGCGAACACGTCCCTCCGAGCGAGCGAGAGCGAGAGAGAGAGAGACAGAGAGAGAGACAGAGAGAGAGAGAGAGAGAGAGAGAGAGAGAGAGAGAGAGAGAGAGAGAGAGAGAGCGCGCTTGGGGGAGGGAAAAGAGAAGGGCGCTCGCGGCCGGCAGGTAGTTGTCGGGGCGCGAGGCAAGCAGGC